TCCCGAACAAAGGAAAACATGGAGTCTGAAATACTTTCCTCGTTTTTCTCGTGACAAGGTTTTAATCAGTGGTAAAAGTTTTTCTCACGTCAAACGACACTTTACATTTTATCCTTAAATACGTCAGTAATGGAAAACATTACCATTTGCTACATGATTAATGTATCGAGAGTTCCAGCAGAATCTTTTTTTTTTTTTTTTGATTCTCTGTAACTATTAACATTACATCAGAATAAGAGAAAAACTCCCAGAACTGATCTTTTGTCATTTCTTCACATGAAACTCGTATACTACAGCCAAGTGGCTCTCTTTTTTCTCACTAATCAGATCGTTATTATCAGAATTCACATTTTAAATACTTGGCTTTTTTCTGTTTAAATTAATTGTACCCTTTTTCCCGCCCCCCGGGGGATATGGAAGGTTTTATTATCCTATTACTTCTGACCCTAAATCTGTCCCTATTTCTCTAATTCTATTCCTATTTTTTCACTAATACGCTTGTGCCTCTCTGCACTTTAAGAAGATGTGCCTCTTTTGCACTTATACCCCTGTGGCTCTTTCATCCTGTATATTCTTTTTTAGAGAGAGACCAACATCCCTCAAGGTTCAAAAACGTCGAAAAACCTGACTATTGTTCTATCGCGTCCGATAGAACGCCCCGTCACGGCGGTCTGGCCACGCTGCAGTCCGTCGAGCCGAATTCTCTCTCTCTCTTCCATTTAAAACAATGTGCAGATTTTCAAAAGTAACGATCCGCTTACCTCTTTCGAAGAGAATAGAGAATTTTCCCGGCCGACGGACCCAGTCTATATCTGAGCTCATCTCTGTCTTGCTCCTGCACCGATCACGTCGGGATTCACCAAATGAAGTCAATTATTCCCTTTGACTGACGTGTTCAAAGTCGATGCAAGAGTAAGACAAGAGATCTTCAAGTTTAACATCTGTATTTAATTTATCTTTACAATCAAATAACAGAAATTCAACCAGCTCCTATACTATCCATGTCCCTCTCTGGCCCTGGTCTGCTTCTCCAGTTCCCGCCTCCAGCCAGAGCATAAAAAGAACAGGAAGGAGGGGAGTGTCCTATCAGCCAGCTTCCGGTCTAGGGTCCAGCCTTTTCCTCCGTCTGCCAGACTCCTGATGGAGTGAGGTTGAAAAGTGCAGAAGTCAGCAGGCCAAGACTAGGGGGGTGAAATACAAACAGCAGAATCCATCTGTTGTCCAGTTGCTGGCACAAGAAGACACCTAAAATAAAATAAGAAGGACTGGCCTCCCACTTAGAGGTCGTTTAGGTCATAAAACACATGGTTTTAGAATGTCATGTATTTATAAATACAACAGGGGGGAATGTGAGATTTCATAACACTTTGAAGCAACTTTTGTTAAAGTTAAACTCATCATTCTATCAATGTGCAGAAGCCTGTACTTTTCCCTTGTTTTGTCTATCTGAAGGCCAAGCTACATGGCACTGTGGCAGCTGCTGATTGGAGGTCTCCACGCCTCCGCTCTGTATAATACACTTGCATTCTGTTGTATCTGTTGATCGTGTGTTCGTGCTGTCTCTACCATCGACAATAAAACATGTCTTCTGTCTGAATTTAAGACGCGATCCCAGACATGTCATCTTCTTCACTGACTATACAGAACTGTAGATGCAGACTTTACAAATGAAATTATATAATTAGATATAATCAATATTAAGTATATATTTACATAATAATTAGAATATTTATAAACATTTATGAACAGACAGGTATAATATAGTAACTATATACAATATCACCAATAGACAGCAGATAGCTCATTTATTTACACGCCACCTTTCCCTCTCCCGGTCATAAAAAGGAGACTGCTGGAACATCTGCGTCTCCATCCCCTGGTCCTTGTACAGGGAGAATACTTTGGCAGGGCAGTAGATGTATTTTCCTGACAGACCAGGGAATTGTGTATGAATGTGAGGACTGGTCCCTGCTTCAGCTGCAGTTTGCAGAACCCGCACTTTCTCCCAGTGGCAGGAGACTCGTCTCTCTTCCTTTTCTTCTCCTACCGCTCATTCACTCTCTGCTGCGTGGCCTCCAGCTCTCTCTGGCAGAACTCAGTGTCCATAAAGTCTCGGAATGGCATCCTGGAGTTGGTCAAACCCTCTGTGCGATAGGTGCTATAGACCTTGGTGGAGCAATAGAAATACCTGGTAGGACCCGGCTGGTAAAAGTCGTGGATGGAGCTGCCATCGCCCTCATATTTGGATTTTGGCTGGCCACAAGACAGGCATTTCTTTGTGTGGGGTTTATTTGCTGGAGGCTGCTGCTGCTTTTCCAAGATCCGCTGCACAACCTTCTCTATGGCCTTCTCAGAAAGCGGTGACATGAGTCTGAGCAGGAGGAGCGGGGTTCACTGCTGCAGGGGGCATGGTGACAACAGGCGCTGTGCTGGTCTTACTGCCTGCTGTGAGCGATGTACTCCCCCAGCACTTCAGCCTTGTCTGAGGCATCACCTCCTCTCACTCGCACCAGAGTGAGGGCGTTCTCCCTCACCACCTCCTCCCTCTGAGGAGCACCGCACTCCCTCATGGACGGGTCGTCCCTGATCTTCCTCGCCTCCTCCGAAGGGTCCTGCAGCAGGAATCCACGTGGGCCCTTGTGAAAAATCACAGTGACGCGGCCAGGAAAGAATGAAAATGTCTTCATATTGTCTGCAACAACAAAAAAAGATCATAAAATATCTAGCTATAGCATGATAGAGAAGTATGTATAACGTATATATCTTTAGCATAATAAAGAATAAAATAATTACATTTAGCATTATAAAGAAGCATGAATCCTGTATAATCTAGAGAAGACATATACAGTTGTATGTTTACATCTGGAAATTAGCAGCATGAGGCTCTGGGATACAGTAAGTACAGTTATAGAAGGAAAATATGAACTGGTAAAACACTAATACATTGTCGTAAACTAACTGCATATAATTCATTTTCAACTCAATGTGTTGCTGAACTATAGAAATGTGAAATACATATAGATAGTACACACATCAACAATAATTAGCTAATAATAATTAGCTAGCGCTGGAAATACTACTACAACCAGACGTAAACAAACTGCATTACTGTATACAGTAGAATATAGTGAATACAGATTGTTTGACACCGCAGAGAAAGTGTTTTCTTTACAATATTGATCCAAACAGAGAGATCTACGAGCAGCAGCAGCAACAAACATGACACGGAGGTAAACAATCATGAACAGCGCACTACACACTCGAGATTTAAACTACAGACGTGTGTGAACGATCTACGCACAATATGAGAGATTTATGGAGTGAAACATAAAGAACGAGCACAAAAACATTGTGTTTATCAGAGGAGACTTACCGAGTGCGTGTGTAATCCAGAATGAATGGAGAAAGCCGGCATCTCTCTGTTTTAGAGCAGTGCGCACAAAGTTTTCCCCATAGTACTTGGATGGGAGACCGCCTGGGAATACCAGGTGCTGTAAGCATTTTGCCCCTGGAGCTCGGGCCTGGGGGCGAGCTCAACAACAGCGCGAGTTGTTGTCGTGTAGTTGAGTTGAGTTGAGTGCAGCTTGAAGTTGTTTCCGTCTCTCACCACTCATCATTTCCGGTAGCATATCAAACAAAATAATGGAAGTTGTTTTAGTAGTGTTTGTTTCCACTGCATAACAAAGAAATGGGTGAATATTTCATTTAGAATGTTTTGATTTTCCAATTTAATTTAGAAAATGGAAATACAATAAAACCACGTAATTTGTTTTTCTGATTTTGTTTTGAAACGGAATAACTAATGATCGAAGGGTACACGGATTGTACACGGATTATAAAGGATTTGATTTTCCAATTTGATTTAGAAAAGGAAAATAACAATAAACAAATGGAAAATTTGTTTTTCTGATTTTATTTTGAAACGGAATAACTAATGATCGAAGGGTACACGGATTATTCAGAATACTTTTACTTTGATTATCAATACAAAAATTTAAATTACACATGTTACATATAGCTACCATTAATTAGGAATTCTAAAATGCACAGGAGTAGCAGATCATATGGCAAACATTTGCATTAACTTGCATATAAGGCATTTTAAGCGTCCCGCACATACGCACGGCTCATTCACTCAGCGCTCTTTCGTATTAGATCCAGTGTTTTCTCCAGCGCCTGTGTGGCGTAGTGGGATTGTCCAAGTCTTTCGCTTGGAAGATCGGGGTTCGAGCCCCGGCCAATCCTCAAATTTTATTAGCGGGGGGAGTATATGAATCAGATTACTCCGTTACTGAATAAAGTTGCATTTTTTTCCTGCAGTTTGGTTGGTGCAGATTGTGAAGTTTACAACAGTTTACTACGGTCTAGCAACTATTTTAAATGTGTTGGCCTAATTACTAAGTATGTTTTAGAAAAAATGTAAACGTCAACAAAATCAAAAGTGTCATAGACTGTACTTGAACCCGAGTCCTCTCACACCAGAGTCCACCTCTTTATCATTGAGCTATAAAGCCACAGAAAGTTGACCGGTGAACAGAGAACAAAGACCGATGAGAAGCCAATTTTCCTAACCCTGCTCACAAGTGCCACCTGGTGGTTTTTTGAGTCATTGCAGCATCACTGGGGAAAAAATAAATAAAAGACGCGTGAATCACACGTGAGTCTCGTGTGATTCACGCGTGAAAGGCGACAAAACGAAGTGTTTGTGTTACGGCCGGCTCAGGGCCACAACAAATAGGGAGACGAGACGGGGGTAAAAAGTGCACAAGTATATTTAATAATAACAAAAGGCGAGTATGACATTAACAAAAACAAGGTATGAGGTGTGAGCATGTTGTAATCAGTAGTGTGGTGCAGGTGTGTGAGTGCAATGAAAGCCGGTGTGTGGTGTGCAGTGAATGTGGTGCATAAACCAAAAGACAAACTCAAATGTGCAAACAAAGGAAGAGCACCAGGGGAGGACCAAACAAGACAGCAGTGCCGGGGAGAGTGAGCAGCTCTCAGCTCCCAGCTGAAGAAGGTCCATTGATGAGGAGGCGTGGCATGGTGCAGGGGTGTACCTGCACAGAGGAGGAGGCGGCAGAGAAGGCAGGCCAACACAGACAGCACCCTCTCCTGGACACTAAGGGCCTGGCCCGTAACACCCCCCCCCTACAAGAAAGGGACCCAACCGGGCCCTTCATAAGACCCAGAGTAAACTAAAAAACGTACTCTTAGCAGCTCAAAGGATGTTCCAGCCACAGGGCCACTGGGCCTCTCAAACGTTTGGAAGAAACTTTAAGTGGTGTCAAGCACTGTACCTCCAAAATACAGTTGGCCCTGGGACTTTGGGTCTCCACCGTGCCGTCCCAGTGTCGCTTGCACGGTGGGCTGAAGCACCCACGCTTCCACCAGAACGGACCTGACAGACGAAAATAAACAGCTATGGCCACAAGTGTTCCTGACCCCACTATGGCTGCTCTGGTCATGACAGCTCTGTAACACAGCATCACAACGTTTTAAAGAACCCACCACCGGGTGCACAGGATCTCCCACTGATCGCTCCAAAGCAAAAGAGTTCTGCTCCACCAACAGGACGTCGAGTGTCACTGAAGATGGAAGAACTGCCACTGAAACATCGTTAGGAACACAAACACAATTTTCCTCTTCCACCAGGTCGTCAGGTGTCATTGACCAAGGAAGAACCGGCACAGGGAATTCATTGCCAGAAAGATCTTCCTCACTTTCAGATCCCACTCGTTTTGAACGTGTATCCATACAAACAGTAACTCCCTCCGGAAAATGCCTCTCAATTTCAGGGTTACTACATACCATAGGCGAATCAGACACCTGGACTGGAGGAGGCACATCAGCCCAGACCCGGCTACCTGCAATATCATTGCCCAAGATCAGTGGCGCCATCTACTGGCAATGCTGGGTGCACTCCCATAGACTCTTCACCCTGGACAAAATCACAATGCAGAACTGTATCACATGGAACCTCCATTACTTTTAAAGCTATTCCCACAACTGGAAACTCAGAGCCTGTGAACTGCAAAGCTTTCGTTTCCGGACCCCCTCCATTGAAACGTGGAACAAGCTTCAAGTCACTAAGTTCCTCCTTTGTATGTTCAGTTCTAGGACTACACTGCATCTCCTGTCTCTTCAAATAGAGTTTCTGCCGCTCGATGTCAAGTGTAGCCAATTCAACCTCCTGCCTCATTATCTCACGTTCTCTCTCTGCCTCTACTTGGACCAACAGTAGCTCTTTCTGCTGCTCAAAAGTTAAACCCACAGGTGAAACCAAAATGCCCATTCCAAATAATATTTTCTTCAAATTGTCCTCAAGAACACTCCTCAAGACAGTTGAATCCCCAATAAAAACTTTGTAAAACTCTGCAATCGCAATTAACTGCCTTTTAGTGCAGAGCTTCAAATCACTCTCACATGGTTCCTCCAGAAATTCCTCAACCACATCATCCATGATAAAAACAAAGACCCCCCAGAAGCTTAAGTGATAAACCACCAATGTGCCCTATAAAGTCAAGGATACCCCGCTAACTACCTACCCAAAAGCTTACTACCTCAAACCCTAGTCTTCGGGAAGCGTGGCGATGGGTTTTTATGCGCCAGATACCGATGGTACACAAGACGACCAAGCTGGCAATCAAGTGACCACGGCGCGCTCCCGAGCCGATGTAGGGAAAAGGGGAAATGGAAGCTACGACCCGCTCTTAACTTCCACACTAAAGCCCCCCAAAAAAAATGCAGTGAACCCACTGTTGGGAAACACCGCTAAGCCTACCAGGGATTCCTCAACTTCAACTTGTAGCACACATTACAATTTATACACTTACCTTCTGGGTCTTTACAAACAGCCACGGCTGACCAAACTAGGATGAAGTTTTTGACCTGCTCTCAAACAGTACAAAAACCTGAAGACCAAAAAATACCTCCCGCACGTCTCCCACAAAGCGCACTAACAAAATGACGTCACAGGGAAACCCCCACTGAGCACGTCACACCAAACTCGAGGTACAGCTCAATTCAAAATGGCACTTAACCAACAAACAACAAGAGCTGACACAAGACTAAACAAAAGCGCTCTCAAACAAAACCAGTTTACCAAAAAATATCACAGATAACACAAAATGATATTTACCTCAAACAAATGCGGGTTTTTAGGACGGAGCCCCCAACTTGTTACGGCCGGCTCAGGGCCACAACAATTAGGGGGACGAGATGGGGGTAAAAAGTGCACAAGTATATTTAATAATAACAAAAGGCGAGTATGACATTAACAAAAACAAGGTATGAGGTGTGAGCATGTTGTAATCAGTAGTGTGGTGCAGGTGTGTGAGTGCAATGAAAGCCGGTGTGTGGTGTGCAGTGAATGTGGTGCATAAACCAAAAGACAAACTCAAATGTGCAAACAAAGGAAGAGCACCAGGGGAGGACCAAACAAGACAGCAGTGCCGGGGAGAGTGAGCAGCTCTCAGCTCCCAGCTGAAGAAGGTCCATTGATGAGGAGGCGTGGCATGGTGCAGGGGTGTACCTGCACAGAGGAGGAGGCGGCAGAGAAGGCAGGCCAACACAGACAGCACCCTCTCCTGGACACTAAGGGCCTGGCCCGTAACATAGTGCAAACAGAGAGCAGAGTGATAATAGTCAAGAAACACGCTCACGGGATACAGGAAGTCACGTATCCAGATCGCTGCTGTGAACCGCTACAGCAGAGAACAGTTTTTAAGGCAGTATCATCCATGCTTCAGTGATCAGAGGTCGCACGTTTTGTTTGTTGTTGTTGTTTTGGGGGCATACTGTGGCGTGCAAAAACGCAAAACTCCGGTTATCTCTGTCCACACGCAAATGCATAAATAGTTTTATTTTTTATGTAATGCGATCTTCCAATACTACCTTTGCGATCGACTGGTAGATCGCAATCGACGTATTGAGCACCCCTGAACTAAAACATCAGCAAATAGCAGCTCACACACCTGTGTCTCGCTGCTCCTCCTCCGCTCACAGGAGTTGCTGCTCCTTCTCCTCCTCCTCACACACCATTGCTCCACACAGAGCGCTCTTTCTTGCCTCTAACTCACTCAGAGTTAGAGTTGGTCTATGCTTGTTACAATGTACTTTTGAACAAGAAAAGTCACAAAGCTCAGGTGGCGCTCCAGTATAATCGGTCCGTATGAAACTCATTCATGAGGAACGTTCCGCGGTGGAAAATACACATGCGATTAAAATGCTTTTTTTTTTTTATTACGCGCTAATTTCGTGGCGTTAATTAGTCATAATTAACGCGTTAATGTCCCGGCCCTAATTTTAACATGCTATTTTATGTCCACTTTGATCTGTCAAAAACGTTTGTTTATTCACAGAAAAATAGAATGCTGTTTTTTTTGCAGAGCATTTTTCCATTTTGAGAGCAGCAGATTACATTAACGAACACACCCACTGAATATTGCATTCTATGTCGCTAAAACAATGGGCCTCATTCATGAACCGTTCTTAGGAACAAATTTGTACGTAAATTCTACTTTTTACAACGATTGTGGCATTCATGAATCTTTCTCGTATCCAGAATTTCTCTGAGGTAAGTCCAAATCCTAAACACATTCAGTGCCGACATGTTCGTACGCTGGTGTTGTCTACTTTGGTTAAGTTCAATAAAATACAACATTACAGTGATTTGTCCGTCACATTTATGTATGTATTTATTCATTTAATTTCTTATGGTAATTTAGTCTATTTTTTTTTCATTTTCTTTTTTTAATTAAATGTGCCAACGCTTTATAAAATACAGTGGAAATCATGCCGTCAATTAGTGACCCCATCCTATTTATAGGGGGCATTTCTCCATCCACGGGCCACAGAACAATGGCATACTGCTGCTGCAGGAGGTTGCGGATCGTGCCCTGCAGAGGGAACATATCTTTGAGGATCATGTTGATCTTTTTTCTGAGAGCGAAGAGTACCTCTTCGGACGCTTTAGGCTCCCACGAGCAATTCCCATTGACTTTTGCTATTATTTAGAGCCAGCACTTCGGTGCCACACACATCGGTCCAACCCTGTCCCCCCACACGTGCAGGTACTATCGACCCTTGGGTTTTTGGCGACTGATTTATTTTTTTATTTTTATTTTTTATTTATTTGGAGATGAAACATCTCGTTTTCGAGGGGGTCCTCAAAATTGGATCACTGGATCCTTTCAACAGGAGCTGGGGGACAGGTTGGGCATCTCACAGCCATCCATCAGCCGCGCTCTCCCTCGAGTTGTGGATGCAATTATTCAACTGGCCCCACAATACATAAAATTCCTGTACAAAGCAGAGGTGCAAGTCTCAGTGAAAATGGAATTTCATCTGATCTCTGGTCTCCCAAATACAATTGCCGCAATAGACAGCACACACGTGCGCATCAAGGCACCCTCTCCAGACTCCTTCCCATACCTCAATGTCCAAATTATCTGCGACTAAAAAAACCATCTCCTGAATGTAGTCTTCCTGTTCCCAGGAGGAGCACACAGCTCGTATACATCAGAACAGCTCCGTGGGATCACGCCTTGAACAAGGAGCAGTTGAAGAACGTATGGCTCATTGGTAAGTATATTTTAATTACAATTTAATTACAAATTCCAACAAGAGTATTACATATTTATCATGATTAATTCCTTTAGGGCAGTGTTTTTCAACCTTTTTTAAACCAAGGCACACTTTTTTCATTAAAACAATCTTGCGGCACACCACCAGGAGAAAATGTAAAAATATATACTCTGTAGCCTATACTTACAATATAAAGTTATTCCTATTTAAAGGACAACTCACCCTCAAATCCACTTTTTTTTGCTGATAAACGGTATAAATGAGTGTCCAATAGTGTTGTCTACATATCCTGGTCATAATCTTGTCACTTTGGTGCAAATTAGTTGAAAGTTAGACTTTCTGCCTAAAACCGTCTGTGAGGCGCCATCTGCTGGCGACCTGTATTACTACATTTGAATTTTGAATCTGGCGCCAACACTGGCACAGAAGTTGGACCTGACGTCTGCAAGTTGGACCTGACGTCAGCAGCCCCCCGCCCAGAGCAATGTAAACAGCCCAGTCTCGTTCACGCCCCCTTTAGTCCTCCAGGCTACGCCCATTTAGAGGAAGATTTGAACAGGAAATGTGAGTAACGTAAGCTCCGAGGAGCGGGGGTGAGAACCACTTTAAAGGAGCCTTGCAGAGTTTGCTATTTTTGTGCTCACGAACCCCCCTCTGGCCAGAGGTGTAACTGGAGTCTGAACGAGAGGCGCGTGCACGAGGAACCGAACATAAACAACAGCTGATATGGTCCTGTCCTCGATAAGTTACAGATTTGCGGGGATGACTTCAACAGAGGTAAGACATATTACTGTTTTGTATGATATTAGGACCAAATCAATGTGTATATTTTCCAAGATGTGATACTTCAGCAAATGCAAAGCAAAGTGAATTATCAAAAGCCTGAAGCCACATTATATTCACACAAATGAACATTTCAAAGGGGAACAAAAAAGTGTCTATTATGTATATATAAACGTAAGCCTAACTGTAGTTAGGCTTACGGAAATAGTACAATTCCACAGATAGAAATGCTTCCATGACAAGCCAAAATCATCTTTTCATTGGGCCTTATAAGGTTAGCGTAGCATGAGACTTTTTGT